AACCATTGCTTCCCCCCCCCTCCCTACCTCTGCTATCAAGATCTGTGTAAATACTTTACTTCAATTTGCTCTGGTCCAATCTCGTGATGCAGAAGCTCCTCTCCCATGTCACAGAATGCTCAACAATAGGACTGAATTCCAAGAGCGGTGACGTCACCCACTGGCTTCCATTGCCCATCAGTTGACAGCACTCCCTCCTCTCCCCTCCAGCAGTGACTCTATGACACATAGGATCCAGGGCTTCTGCATCACGTGAGCAGACCAGAACAAATTAAAATAAGATATTTACACAAATCTTTTTTTTTTTTTTACCAGCACTTCACAGCATAGGTAAGAGAAGAGTGGAAGGAGTGGTAGTTATACGCATGTAGCCTTTACTTTCACTTTAAAGCATAAATCTGGGAAAACATTTTTTGGCCTGTGCAGTGGGGTCGTGCTGGCACTGCACAGGTCAAATGCTTGTTTTGTATATAGATAACACCGAAGATATACTCACCTGACCCACCAATCCTCCCCACACAAGACCAGTCCTTTGGCTCCTGCCCCCTCCACGGTCCAGCAGTCTTGTAAATGGAATGTTCCTGATGTCAGCATGCTTAATGCACAGTCCACAGACAGGAACAGTCCACTACTGGACCATGGGGGAGCACGGTTTTCCGCAGTATCGGTGGGTCAGGTGAGTATGAGCTTAGTCCTCATACCTAGAAAAAAACGAGCAGCTGATCAATGCAATGGGGGAACAGCTCCACTGCATGGTAAAAAAAAAAACAATTAACTGGAGCTCTGCTTTAACTATTTTTGCTACAAATGCACTAATATACTGTAGGTACCGTTACCATCTGTAGTTTTTAACTGGTCTATTGCAAGCAAGGCCACAATGAAGGAATCACTTTCCCATCCAAGTATTTCAAAGTTACTAATTGCTTATTATAAAAGATCTATTATAGGAACTTTATACATAACATATAGTTAGTGTGGAACTTGGCATTCTAATGGGAATTTTTCACCGAGAGATACAAGAAGCCAGATTCAAATTGCGAGAAAACAAAAATATCAGTTTTGGTTAGGGTTGACCATTAACTATTTTCTACATTGTTACAGAAATGTTACATTGCAGACCATTAGGCCCTATAGTAAATACAATATTTTCACCTATCTTTAAAGTAGATGAAAAACCAAATTACTAAAATCTTACATCCAGTACTCTTTAACAGGATAATGTAGTATCAAATTTTATTTTTATTTTTTTTTTGTCCACAGTTTTCATTTAATACCTGGTGAACCTGCCATAAACGTCCTTAATCGGGCACTTCCAGTTATAGGGTGACAATGCTCTGTCCACAGTTGTGCTCGTGTATTGTCACACTGTCAAACAAGCATTAGATAGAGACTTTAATTGGCCATTTCAACACATATTACACAAGCATGGTCCACTATTGCCACCATCAAGAAACTTGCCTTGACAAATGGCATGCAGCAATCACTGGAGTCCATGTAGATAAGCAGCAGCAGCAAAGATGCTACGGAAGATCAGCAGCAAAGGATGAAAAAAGTATTTTATTATTAAAAAATAGGAATTGTTTATGATACACCATGATTTAGCAAACTGAATATCATCCAGTCATGGTTTACATCTACTTAAAGTGGATTTTCAGCTGGAAAATATAGTCACTTATGTGTCCCTCGGTCCAGCGGTTTCCTCACCATGGCTGGTTTCACCGGCTGTCTTCTCTCCCTGGCGCCGGCATCTTTAGTGTGGGCACCCGTCTGTGACAGCTTGAGGCTTCACAGCCGGGTGCCCACTGCACATGCGCGAGAAGCGCTGCACATTGTGAATGGCCCCATAGTCTTCTGGGACCTGTCACGTTTCCCAAAAGACTACGGGGGGGGGAATTTCCCCCCCCCCCGATCGCCTAGGCGATTGCAGAGGAAGTGGGAGTGGGTACCTGTCAAATTTGGGGACCCGCTCCCCAAAGATGCCAATCCTTAATGGGGAGGGGGGGACAAAGCATTAAAGCGGAACTTCCCCTTTTGGGTGGAGCTCCACTTTAAAGTGCACCTTTCCACCCATTACCAAAATTCATAACAGCATGCATCTCTGCGTGCTGATATCAAATCATCCAACACTGTTTTTTTTTATGTTTTTGGTGCCTTCAGGTTGTCTAATGCCCAAACTGTAAGATCTCACAGTATTCTCATACTGCCCATTTACCAGATAAAGTGCATGATGTCTTGTGCTTCATGTCACCCATCCACCATATGGCATGGCATTTGTTGTTAAAAAGAAATAATTTGTGAGATCCCAGGTGAAGGATTTTTTTTAAACAGATGAATGTAATGTCATACAGTACATGTGTGAAACAAGGCATGCATGTGCAGTACAACAGAAGGAAGACGCATTTTCAAAATGGTGGCATGAAAGCGGGGGGCACAGGCTGGATGCAGGAATCTGAAAAGGCAGAATAAGAAAGAAAAGCAGCATGGACATATGTAAGTGTACTTGTTTATGCACACTATTTTACAAATTTTTGTCATTTTCTTTAAGGTGGAGAGGGAAGGTCCTCTTTAAAGCAGATCTCAACTGTACCTGAGCACCACAAACCGAAAAAGATATTTAATAAATGTTAATGTTCAAAGCAAAGTCTCCCATATATCCATGTCTCTAAACTTTATTTTGTGGAGAAATAATTTTCTAGCATTTCTAGCTGCGGCCATCTTGAGTAAGGGTAGAAGATTCATGTGGCATTTATTTCCCAAAATCTATCTGGCCTTAGCTCAGGCATGTGTGCTTAGCTGAGTCCCTCCTGCTCTCCTCCAGATGAAAGAAAAAAATACCCATGAAGATTTCTGGGATGTAAGACATCAGTTTGGCCTAGACCAAAAATCATGAAGCAACTGAAGAAATAATAATTAAAAAAAAAATGTTTAAAACATAAGTAAATATAATATAGCCTTCCTATATATTTACTAATGCTAGCATCATAAGGATTAAAAATAGTTAATGTTGACTGAAAGAGTTTAGTTCCGCTTTCCACTTATACTTTTCTTACTGAAAAAGTTTTCTTCATTGGATACATGTTGGCCTTGTCTAAAAAAGGGGAAACAAAGGCCGATCTTATAGCCCACATGCAGTAGTAGTCATACCTGGGAACTTGCCAGCTTTCACACTGGCTCTGCTCATCTCTCCGGCTTCTTGCTGCTATGACTGCAGAGTCACTACTGTTGGGCTGAACAGGGACTGGGATAGCTACTGAATGAAGAATTCTGCACTGTCCTCCCTCCTATGGCAACCTATTGTAGGCCAAGACAGCAGGAAGAGTGAGCGCCCTCTAAAGACAAACCTCCTCAGTATGGGAACCTGCTGGGGAGTGAGCGAGGATTGCCCATCCTGTTTACCCCACTTATGTCACATATCACATGACCAGTGATGGAAAGAAGAAATGGAGAAAAGTTGCCTTGATTCCTAGGTGGGCGCTGTTCTGAGAAGAAGGTGTGTGAGAACTGTGAAGGGAGCAACTCAGACCTCTACCCTCTACCCCCAAAAACCTCTTGAAATACCTTTAGACTCCCTACCTTCTTCAGAGTCCTTCAGTCCCCTTCACCTCCCTAGAGTCACATAGGGCCCCTTAGTTCAGGGCACCCCAAAAAGCCCCACCTCCCCATCCTCTCAGCTCCCCTCCTTCACCCTACTGACATTATTGCCAAGGCAGTCCTCCTTGCACTACCACTGACACCACCGATGCAGCAGCATTTTTTCCTTCCTCTGACACCATCATCACTGGGACATTTTTCCCTACACTGATGCTGGGGCATGTCTTCCTTCACCACTATTAGCCCCTTGCGCCACTATTAATTATGTAAAAATCAGACTGCAAATGTACCTCATCTCTCATATAAAAAAAATATAAAAACCAAATGAGACTTAACTGGTACAGAAAGTGGACAACATCATATTGTTGTATAAAACATGTTTATTGAAATGTGTCTTCCAAAATGTTACCATAAAAACAGTATTTTGGCTAATCAGCCCAATATATCACAGCATTGGATATCATGACATCAAAGTACACCAGAGATCAACGCGTTTCGCTTGTTTGCTTCCTCAGGACCCCAAAGCAGTTGAAGACAAAAAAGTCCAGTATCCTAGCTGGAAGATACATATGTGCATATATTTGCAACACATTAGTTAAGTAATTATAATCATTATATAACACTACCAAAAGAGCACCACTATTAAACTTTTCAGTTTGCTGCAACATACCACAACCATTGGCATTATTTTGGCTCCTGTCACAACCACTAAAGTAATACTAAACGCGCACTTTTTAATTTGCATTGTCCCTTCTATTTCTGTAAATGGATGATGGTACTGTAAATATTGTAATATAAAAAAGAAACATCAAAGTACATTTTTCCTAATCGATATACAGCTGTCACATGACCCAACACTTTCTCAGCTTGTCTGATGAGAAACATATCAGGAGGAGCTTCTAGCCCTCTGCTGTTGGTCACATGTTCAAAATAAAAAAAAAACAGCCTTTGGGATACAGAGTAGAAATAAATGATTCATATCAATAAACTGTTATAAATCATCATACAAATATATATTTGATATCAAATCTCTATTAGCCCCTCCAGCCAGTCTATTAGAAAAAGAGGGAGGTGAAGCTTCCATCAATCTACATGTAATATCCCCCCCCCCATCCTTTAGCTGGTTAGCGGGCATGGAGGAGGAGGGAGGGTGTGGGCTGTCATTTACCACTGTGTAAACGCCCACATATGTGACTCTATAGTCACATGGGCTGCTCAGATGACATAGGGAGGAAATGCTCAGCAAGGAAACTCACTGAAAACTGACCATGTGCACTGGCTACAACACTGCTCTGCAAAATCCTCAACTACATTAGGGACATGGACAGGAGGGGGAGACAGAGAACAGCAGGATCAACCAGGTTTTTTGCAGAATAGAAAAAAAATTAATAGTGAATGAGTGAGTATGAACCAGGGGCTGACTGACCATTTAGAAACTCGGGAACTGCCCGAGGGCCCGGGGTAAGTAGGGGGCCCCATGAGATGCCCCTGGTACCTTTTTTCATAGGTTTTTTTGAGTTTGGGCAAGGACACAGGGGCCCCATGATCCCCTATTGCTTGGGGGCCCCATGAGTTGTCAGTCCGCCCCTGGTATGTAATACAGCATTTATTGATAATTTTTTTAATTATGTGGTTTTAGTGAGTCTTTAAATATGCATCAGCTATTAGCCCTGTCTCCTACCACACCCTTGGCCCCACTCCCAATCTCATGCTCACTGATTTCCCAGGTATGTCAATAGCAATCATTTTTGTTTTCACTTCTCTGTCTTTCAGGAAATTGCTATAGGTAACAATGGGTAAGAGCACTTCAAATCTCAGCTTTTGCTTTGTACAGTTTTTCTGAATGTACCATAACTAGTACTTGCCTGAAACAACCAACTGGATGACGTTTTCCTAGCATAAAAGAGAAAATGACACCAAAGATTTGATTGGTTGCACTGGATGACACATTTTATTTTCTCTAGTTTTTATACATGAGATCTATTTGCATTAGGGACACAGAATCCAGATGGTGACAGATAATGTTATTGCAACATAGATGTTTGCCATTTCTCTTTGGGGTTATCAGATTTTAGGAAGTGCAGTGATAAAATATTACATTCAATGATAGAAACTCACATATACTCATTAATAATAGCAATCATTACATTTTTGTGATTATTATTAATAATAGTATTATTATTAGTAACCCATTCATGATGAAGGGTAAAACAAATTCTAATCATGAACACAGTTTTGCAACTTTGACATGTGTTAGTACAGTGGTACATATTATCTCAACTACTTAGTGTATCCAGATGAATTATACCTTTTTGTCAGGACAAATTGAGCTTTCATTTGTTGGTAAATGGTAACAGCTATCTCCTGATATTTTATTTGTATTATTATCAAAGGAAAACTAGCACAAATTAGTTAAAAAATATATTTTTTTTTAAATTTAGCTGTATATTTCTTGCTATTGCTATGACCTACCACCAAAGAAAAACAAAATAAATTCTCCTGCTCCTGATGATCATAGAGATGCCATGTATGTGTATATTATTTGTTGTTTGTACCCATAGTAGGGCTCAGAAACAATAATGCACATTTTGCTTGTTTCTTCTACCCTACCTAAAACAGATTGACATTGATACTAAATATACATTTTTTTAGTCCTACCTCAAATACACTGACCTTGACCTTTGACTACGACCTTTCACTCTGAATTTGACCCTCACCTCAACACTGACCTAGAACACACCCTGATCCAGTTATTATCTTTATTTATTTATTTATTTATTTATTTTTTTACACATACATTTTTTTGTTTACACTTTTTTCCTCTAGAAAGGAAAAAAAGATACAATGTATATTTTTCTCCATACAAGAGGATACAACAACACAGAGGCAGGCTTTGCAGTGACTGACTACTGTGATTGCCAACCAGAGGCTATCACAGCGATCAGATGATTGAGATTCAGCCCTCCAGGTTCCCATTTGTTAGTATGAGACCCAGATCTCTCAGTGAGAACTTGGTCGCCATGTGAAGTACGCTCATCACGTGCACAGTGGAACATAGATGTGGCCCCAATTATGTGAGGTTGCATATATGCATATTGCTGGCAGGAAGAGGTTAATAGTAAATAAAAATAATTAATTATAATAATTGTATACAAATCTGACTGTTAGCACTCATATCCTATCTTGATCCTTCAAAAAAACATGTCTAGACTTAAAGTGTTACTAAACCCAGGATCCTGAATATCACTATATCTGGTCTCCCACAGTACATCAAACACGGAATGCAATTATTTTAGTAAATATAAACTGCTAAATACTTTTTCTCATCAGCAGTATATAGCAGTCTTGTGACTTCTATCAGTGTCCAGCAGAGCACTGGTTAAAGCTTGTAGGAGAAGTTTTATTTCTGCTCTAGGAGGATGCAGAACCCCTGACCCTCTGTCTGGACAGTGCTGATTGGCCCTGTGCTGATTACATGCACTCTCCCAAGAAAAAAAAACTCCCCAGCAATACACACCAAACTGAATATGTGCATGTGGCTACAGACTGAGCCTGTATCAGGTGGTTATATCAACAAGAAGAGGGGCAGAGAAGAAAGAATCAAACAGCCTTTTTACACAATGCAGAGGATTAACCCCTTAGGTTCCACAGTGAGTATAACAAGCATGCTTTACTGCATATACAGACTGATTTTACTGTTATAGGTTTAGTAACACTTTAAAGACATTCTGTGGTCACAGTATACACTTCCATTTTATAACATCATCATTGTAATAGTAATAGAAACAATAGTTATTTCTGACAATCCAGTATAAGCTTACTTGAAAAAGTCTCCTTCCATGTTGTGAGATTCTCCCTGCCTGCTGGCTGTGCCTTTTGCACAGCTTCCTGAATTCCCTTCATGATTTGCAGCTTCTCTTATATTATTTGCATTCAATTGTTAAGGACTACATACCCCATGGCACCTTGCTGCCTGCACGCTGTGATTCCTCTACTGACTCCGCCTCCTGAGACTCCTCGTTGCACCTCTGCAGTTCAGTAGGAAGGTTCTGTGAAATGTGTGACACAGCAGTGCCTATCAGCTGGGCATAGTGAATAGTTACAGAATTCAAGGAAGCAGTGGCGTATCCTCCAAGGGTGAAATGTGTATAGGGCACACACGCCCCATTAGGGGTGGGGCCCACTGTACCCTCCTACATTGCACAGCGACAAGTGCAAGGAAACACTGGTTCTATGCCTTTGCTGTAGCTGTGAGTGTCATTCAGAACTGCATTAAAGATCCATCTAGTGCTTGTGTATGGAGAGAAGAGTGGGTGCTGGTCTAATACTGGGGGGGGGGGGGGGGGTCCCTGTTTCCAGTTGGAGGAGGACTGTGATTCCCACTTGCAGTCTTGTGATTGCCTCCTACCAGACCCAAACCCTACCTGAACTCTGCATCACTTACTACCAACCACTGAACTCTGCATCACTTACTGCCGACCCCTGAACTCTGCATCACTTACTGCCGACCCCTGAACTCTGCATCACTTACTGCCGACCCCTGAACTCTGCATCACTTACTGCCGACCACTGAACTCTGCATCACTTACTGCCGACCACTGAACTCTGCATCACTTACTGCCGACCCCTGAACTCTGCATCACTTACTGCCGACCCCTGAACTCTGCATCACTTACTGCCGACCCCTGAACTCTGCATCACTTACTGCTGACCACTGAACTCTGCTTCACTTACTGCCGACCACTGAGCTCTGCATCACTTACTGCCGACCACTGAGCTCTGCATCACTTACTGCCGACCACTGAGCTCTGCATCACTTACTGCCGACCACTGAGCTCTGCATCACTTACTGCCGACCACTGAGCTCTGCATCACTTACTGCCGACCACTGAGCTCTGCATCACTTACTGCCGACCACTGAGCTCTGCATCACTTACTGCCGACCACTGAGCTCTGCATCACTTACTGCCGACCACTGAGCTCTGCATCACTTACTGCCGACCACTGAGCTCTGCATCACTTACTGCCGACCACTGAGCTCTTCATCACTTACTGCCGACCACTGAACTCTGCATCACTTACTGCCGACCTCTGAACTCTGCATCACTTACTGCCGACCACTGACCTCTGCATCACTTACTACTGACCTTTCAACTTTGTCACTTTTCATGAACTTTGAGTCATTTACTACTAACTACTGAACTCTGCACTACTTAAGGAGCAGTACAGCCAAAGCTTTTTTGGCTGTACTTCTCCTGTGGATCACAGGAGTGCAGTTAGTTCTGACCTGTCTTCACACGACAGAGGGCTAAAGTCCACTGTCAGCTGACGTCACTCAGCCAGTCCATGCTGGGGAATTAGACCATATGGTTGGGATCCACCCAGTAGTCTGGACCGGCACCTAGCTCAGCCTCTCAGAAAGCCGCTGAGAGCCTGAGCCAGCAGCTCCCTTCCAATTCACAGCATGGAGGGAGGGGGCAGAGCAGAGTCACCTGACAGTTACCACTCTCTTCTCAGAACGGCACACAGAACTGAGCGATCAGAGGTGTCTGATCGCTCAGTTCTCACTCTTAGAGCCGGCAGGGGACAGATGCAGCATTGGATCAATGCTGCATCCACCTAGGTAAGTATTATTTTAAAAGAGCTGTATGGCATTTCTTTTTTTTTTTAAAGCATACTTACCTAGGTGGATGCAGCATCACTCCAATGCTGCATCTGTCCCCCGCCCTGCTCTTAGTGTGAGAACTCAGTGATCACATGACTGCTGATCGCTGAGTTTAATGATTATCTTTCCTCAGCCTGGACTGGCTGGGTGACGTCAGCTGACAGCAGGCTTCAACCTGCTGTCAGCTGCAAAGGGGTCACAGGAGTGCAGAATGAACTGCACTCCTATGATCCACAGGAGGAATACAGCCAAAAGAGCTTTGGGTGTATTTCTCCTTTAAAATTTTATATATATATATATATATATATATATATATATATCTTTTAATCTTGATGTGTAAACTATGCATCACTTACAAGTGACCCCTTTATTGTTTTAAAAAACATCTATATTCATATTTTTGTGTTTGTGTTAGTAGGGGGGAGGAATCAGAGAGGAAAAAATGCCTTTCATGGGTGAAGGTCCACTTTAAGAGACTGACACAGATGTTTTCTTTTTATAAATATGTTAGGTTTTTTAGGAACAGAGACTTTCCACTTGGCAAAGCAAATGTTCACGGAGTTTAAATCTGAATTTTATACCTGGAGTTCTGCTTTAATAAGCTTTGTTCATTTTGAATACCTCCTCCTTATGTTGGAAAAATATATATTAAAAATAGATTTTTGCTTGCAATGTTAGGTGATTGAAATAATCATAACTTCAATGTATTCAATAACCGTGGAGAACATTCACTTTGTTATGTGAATAGTCTCTTCTCCTTTACTAAATCATCCCCATAGTGTTCCAAAACTGGCTATTTCTTTAAGTACTGTATAGTTTCTGACAGTCGATGACTGTGAGCTCTTTAGGGCTAGTTCACACTGGTGGGTGAGTGTTACCCCATAACGATGATCTCTGTAATCACTGGCACCCCATAACCATGATC